ACATCGTTGGTTACAGTTTAACCTTCAGTCACATTAGGACTGCTTTAGAAAAGGAAATACTACAATATTCGTGAAGTGTTTTGCCTTTAATTGCTTTGAATGTAAATACAAACTGTGGGATAATAAAAGGTGATTACAAAACTTTATTTTTCATTTTTTCATTCCACTGTGAAACACCACCTGTACACAACCCACACCCTGTACCACCGACCTGTACACAACCCACACCCTGTACCACCCACCTGTACACAACCCACATCCTGTACCACCCGCCTGTACACAACCCACACCCTGTACCACCCACCTGTACACAACCCACACCCTGTACCACCCACCTGTACACAACCCACATCCTGTACCACCCACCTGTACACAACCCATACCCTGTACCACCCACCTGTACACAACCCACACCCTGTACCACCCACCTGTACACAACCCACACCCTGTACCACCCACCTGTACACAACCCACACCCTGTACCACCCACCTGTACACAACCCACACCCTGTACCACCCACCTGTACACAACCCATACCCTATACCACCCACCTGTACACAACCCATACCCTGTACCACCCACACACTGTACCACCCACCTGTACACAACCCATACCCTATACCACCCACCTGTACACAACCCATACCCTGTACCACCCACACCCTGTACCACCCACCTGTACACAACCCACACCCTGTACCACCCACCTGTACACAACCCATACCCTATACCAAACACCTGTACACAACCCATACCCTATACCACCCACCTGTACACAACCCATACCCTGTACCACCCACACCCTGTACCACCCAGCCGTACACAACCCACACCCTGTACCACCCACCTGGACACAACCCACACCCTGTACCACCCAGCCGTACACAACCCACACCCTGTACCACCCACACCCTGTACCACCCAGCCGTACACAACCCACACCCTGTACCATCCATACCCTGTACCACCCACACCCTGTACCACCCAGCCGTACACAACCCACACCTTGTACCACCCACCTGTACACAACCCAAACCCTGTACCACCCACCTGTACACAACCCACACCCTGTACCACCCACCTGTACACAACCCACACCCTGTACCACCCACCTGTACACAACCCATACCCTATACCAAACACCTGTACACAACCCACACCCTGTACCACCCAGCCGTACACAACCCACACCCTGTACCACCCACCTGGACACAACCCACACCCTGTACCACCCACCTGGACACAACCCACACCCTGTACCACCCACCTGTACACAACCCATACCCTATACCAAACACCTGTACACAACCCACACCCTGTACCACCCACACCCTGTACCACCCAGCCGTACACAACCCACACCCTGTACCACCAACCTGGACACAACACACACCCTGTACCACCCAGCCGTACACAACCCACACCCTGTACCACCCACACCCTGTACCACCCACCTGTACACAACCCACACCCTGTACCACCCACACCCTGTACCACCCACCTGTACACAACCCACCCCCTGTACCACCCACCTGTACACAACCCACACCCTGTACCACCCACCTGTACACAACCCACACCCTGTACCACCCACCTGTACACAACCCACACCCTGTACCACCCACCTGTACACAACCCATACCCTATACCACCCACCTGTACACAACCCATACCCTGTACCACCCACACCCTGTACCACCCACACCCTGTACCACCCACCTGTACACAACCCACACCCTGTACCACCCACCTGTACCACCCACCTGTACACAACCCACACCCTGTACCACCCACCTGTACACAACCCACACCCTGTACCACCCACCTGTACACAACCCACACCCTGTACCACCCACCTGTACACAACCCACACCCTGTACCACCCACCTGTACACAACCCATACCCTGTACCACCCACCTGTACACAACCCACACCCTGTACCACCCAGACCCTGTACCACCCAGCCGTACACAACCCACACCCTGTACCACCCACCTGTACACAACCCACACCCTGTACCACTCACCTGTACACAACCAACACCCTTTACCACTCAGCCATACAGCGTTATCACTATTCCCTAGCCGTGAGGCATATTAGAAGTTTGTCCATATAGTAGTGAACAAAAACTATAAAAAGAGCCGCTTTTTGTCATCAGGAAAAAAGAGAATAAATGTGAAATTAATGTACAAAGTAATGTGGAAAGATTAGCTCAGTCTTACAATAATAATAAAAATAGTTACTACACCAAGGGAGGTAATGAATACTCAGATTATGTATCACACCAAGGGAGGTAATGTACTGCCATATAACATGTTTTGCCCAAATAATCACAAATAAAAAAGTGAGTGAGTATGTCTTCACGCCGCTTTTAGCAATATTCCAGCAATATCATGGACTTCACACATTGTACCAATGTCGGGAATCAAACCCAGGTCTTCGGCGTGACGAGCGAAAGCTTAACCCACTAGGCTACCCGATCTCTCCAAATAAAAAAGGTATTTACACATATACCTAACATAGATACCACTGGACAAATAACACAACATACAATTAGATAAATATGGTCTAACCCTCAAAGGGTACATGAAAAATGTCCATAATGATAAAATATATTTATCCATGATAATCCTCACCTCACAATGGAGCCAAATGATAACATGTGGTGATTCACTATAAAGGAGGATCATGGATTGCCTGTAGTTCACAAACCACCACACAACATTGTGACAATGCACTCACTATCACTTATTATCTTCACTCACACAATTCAAACAAAACCATGGCATATATATATGCACATAGCTAACTAACAATAGCTGACTTTAATAATTACTTCACTCTAACTTTAATCAGAACAGTTGTTGCAATTGCCTATATTACCAAATGAACTGTTACTAAATTACATCATTGTTTAAGAAACAACAGATTTAATGAGCATATAAAAGAACTAATAAAGCTAAGTATTTAACAGACCTGTTTCATCCTGCTGCCCTCTTGTTGTTGCCTCATGTTGTGTGCTGTGATTGTGCTGTGTCTGTGAGATGGGTGCGCGGGGGGGGGGGGGGGGACGCTAAGTAGAAAGACTCTAAGGAATTTCAAAAAATTGTTTGATTGTAAACACGAGAATTTAACAAATTTAACATAAATTATAATTAGAAATGAAAAATAAGACAGTGAGTAGGGCTCATCAATGCCCCCGATTTCCGACACCAATGTATTTCTAATATGAAAACATAAAAAAACAAACATAATGCTTTCAGAAAACACACATATCAAAATCAAGCTTTGCCTCTACACCTCTCCCATAAGTATGGAAACTACTCACTAAATTTTAAAAGAATCAATGAACTTGTCTAGTTATGGGTAAACCAGTTTTCAAGTTATAGGTCATACACAAAAATGTCTTAGGAAGGTTTAACTATATACCCAACGTTTTAGGTCACGGAATAAAAATATAGAAACAGTTGTTTGAGACTAAGTCAACATTGTTTCCATGGAAACATTAAAAAAATATAACTTAAAAAAATTCATAATAGCAAAAGGCACCAGTTAAGCTGATGAGCAATACATATATGCACAGTTTCATTGAAAAAAGGTTTTCAATTCATGGCTTGGAATAGGATGGGAATGCCAATTCCTACACAACGAGAACCGAGCCAAAGATGTCTCCCCTCCCTGTGTCCTTCCAAAATGACTTATCAAGATTGTAGGATTTTTGTCAAATTGACATGATCTATTTTGTAACATAAATTTAAAAATATTTTAGAAGTAACATTTCTTATTTAAACTTCACATATCTAAAATAAAACATAAAACACTTTAAAATTATATACTTAAATCAGTATAAAATAATATTGTGATTTCTTCTTGTAGATGGATTCGAACTTTGTCAAGCTGGCCGCATCACCTCGAAAAGGACAATCATCTTGATAGTCTTTAGTGCTAGGAAGATACAACAGAACTTTTGAGGGAACCTATGCAGGAAGGTAAAGCTTCCAGTTTAACAGCTTTGCAAATCTGGGGATGATCCAACTTATCTTAATATCAAGGGAATACTTAAGGACACAGAACTACCATCTTTTCAAGTTGACTTTTTTCCAGATGATGGGGTGAGCAAATCCCTTCGAGTCTTTTTGGATCTGGCTGCTGGACTATCAAACACAAAGTAGGCCTGGAAAAGATCTGCACCTTCTCCCTATCCTCCAAGCTAATGGTCATAACCCACCCTCCAACAAGCAGCACCCCATAGAGATAAGATAAGTGTGACTAATTGTAGATAAATGACTAAATGTAGATTTGGCTTCAAATATCTGTGTGCATGTTAATCTTATCGGCTGCTTCTCACTATATGACATACCTTCCATCACTTGGTTGTCGTTATTCCAGCTTGAGAATGGTGTAAGAATGTCGCTGATGCAATTAACCATAAAGTTGGTTTTATTAGACACCTATTGTCTTGACAATCAAGTCTTAGATTGCAGAAGCAAGCTCTCACTTCCGACCAGGAAAAATCTGGGATTTACAGCCCTTCGAGACTGAAGGCAGAAATCTGCAGCTTGACCGGCAGAATCAAGGGTGCTAGGTGATTGCCAGTTCTTGAGTTCCTGCATGGATGGCTGCCAGCAGTCCATGCAGCTGAAGGCAAACCAAGAGGCAATCTCATGCCCTCCAGGTGGCACAGCAGAAGCCTTATCCTGCACCAGACAGGCAAGTGTTTGCTGGCCCAGTTGTCACCACGCCAACCAGCAAAAACAGGTGCAACGCCTATTGATAAACCCTTGGGAAGTCGTTATGCTCATGGTTTAGAGAGCCTGGGCCTGAGAAACCAGTTGAAAACTAAAAGCAATGATTCAAATTCAGGGTACAACAATGTACACTCAGCATGGTCACTCACCGTTCCCATCACATCAGCAGATGTTTCAGCCAATCCAGTTGTACACCTGAGAACTGTGTGACAATTCCAATAGCAATAAGCCAACACACACAAAACACCAATTGTCAGCCTAAATGACTTTATTTTTCAACCTCAAAGAAAATTCCACGGAGATGTAACAATGTAGTGCAATGCTGGCCGTCCCTACACATTGGAGTGATACGTGGCTTGCAACATGCAACATACTTCACAGATTTACAATCATTTGTATTGCATATGTCATAACATACATATATCTCTCTCAAGTAGAGGAAAAATCAACAATCATTACTGCCGTGCCAGATAACTTGTAACAGAAAATGTAACATATACAGAAGTACTAACCCTTCGGTAGTTTCTCCTACATGCAGGAGTTTACTGATACATGACTCCCTAACATCAACTGCAGTATTTGGCAAGCAGTGATTTACAACAAACAAAACTAAATTCTGATCCAAATTGGATTGTTATGATTCAGACATAACTCCATACTTATTCTTGGTTAAATGAAAATCCAATACATGAACTGTGTGGACTAATATTCAACTGATAAATAGATACAAACTCTTCATGGGAGTCATGTAGATGTATCTGAGTATTTTATGCTATTTTGAGGAGGGATGCATGATGCTTTACTATAGCAGTTTATACAGGAGTCAATCTGGCAGACATGACAACAGTTGAAAACTGCCCAACATTTCACTACTCCACAGGCAACACAGAATTCTCTTGTAGGCAATAAAGCCTAAGATCTATAATACACGCACAAAATGTGATTTTACTTCCCCAAGCTTTGAAGTGAAGTTCAGATAACTTTTTAAAATGAGTGACAAAAGTGAAATAGAAATGAGGACAAAGTTAACTCCACTCTTGTGACAGACCCATTGTTTGTGTGGGAGGGAGTGTTTGATGGGGCTGAACTGCTCCTCATCCAAGCAATTCTGGTGTGTGGTCAAGGTCACATTTTAACATGGAATGTGGGGAACGAAATAAAAGCGTATGTTGGTACGTGACGGTGCAAATATCATCCATTCTATCATATCCAGGACACTCGGACAGACATACACATGTAACTACAATCACAACTTGAAATATATGGCGAAATACATACTAAAATGCACAGAAAAAATATTAAACAGTTTGTACAATAAAGATTTTATGATAAAAATTCTGTCTTCTAAAATCATAGTATTAAATTATATCCGAGAGTAATAACAATAATAAATCTATGCAAAGCCTGTCTGAACTTAAAGAAGGCTGACATGACCCACGCAGGGTGTTCTATAGCTACAAGTTAATCTTGAGTAAGTATGTGTGTGTGCAGTCAACCACTAAACACATGACAGGCAGATCTAGTCACACATGACTGGTGGTGGCTGTACAGTGACTTGGTGTAGTAAGGCAGCAACAGTACCTCGTCTGCATCACTTGCCAATATTAATCCTACATGGGACAACAGTTAGCTCACTTTACTGATTCCAAATTCTGCACAGCTTCAATTTGCAGGCAATGATATCAAGATCACTTGCAAAGTATAAGTTCACTTAAATGCAGTAATGACATAACGACGACCATAAACATGCTCCTGAGCATAAAAAAATCATCACTTTTTTTCACATTTGAATGACAAGTGAAAATACCCTCCCATCCCAATGCTTTTTCCCCAGCGAAAACTCCCACCCCATGGCATTTGAAGATTCTATGGTCATCCTAAATTATCTTTACTAAGGATAAAATATCCTTAATAATATGTCTCTCTCTCTACAAATCCTCCAGGGTTTCGTCGCAAGATGAACTTTCTACACTCATCATATATGAAGATGGCCAAACTGAATGGCATAGCTGGGAACCACCAAGATAACCTGAAAAAAAAACAAGCACAGTTTGGACTCAACTCATGAATGTGTACATTTTAGACACAATATTAATATTTTCAAGATAAAAAGGAAACCGTGATCAGCTGATGTTTTTTTTTTACAGTTACTGACCTCAAGTGCTGCATACGCAGACCCTGGTCCAGACCGGGGCAGTATGTCAGGAAGGCGGCTAGGGCAGTCTCGAAGAATATACCAAAACTCAGTCTGTGGTTTCTGTAACAAGAGATATTGCATGTAAAACAGCACAAATAACAACTTATGACAAATAAGTAACAGTCCATTACTAAGCTGGTTTAAGGTTGAAAATGTTCTGAGTGAAGCTTCAGCTATTTTTGTTTACATGATTCTGGTTATCCTTTGGCTCATTACAAGAATTCTGCTGGTACTTACTTCATTCCCTGTTGGAATAGGGACAGCCTCCTAGTCTTACAGATGATCAGATCAGCCCACTGTACGATAACAATGGACACAAAGAAGGCAGTGTGGCATGTGTACTCCAGACGTTTTCTCTGAGAATAAGTCTGAAAAAGCCATAAATTCCTTTGTCAATACATTCACTCATGATTTGAAATACCTAAAAAACAGTATAGTAAGAAACAAATTCAGAGTGGATATTTTCAAACTGAAAGAAAAAAAGTGGGGGAGAAACATTAACATACCCATTCCTGTCCATAGGAATCCTCCAGGTCATTGATGCCCAAGGAGTCCCATTCCTCTCTAATGCCCAACAGTTTGCTCATCCAGAAACCATTCTCTCCCATGATCACAAAATACACAAAGAACCCAGCAGAGGCCTGGATCATACCAATCTGCCCATACGCCATACTGATCAATCTGAAACACACAAAAATAACATGTTAATTGCACTCAAAAAGAAAAACTGTTAAAACTTAATGTATGGTCTTCAAGGAGTAGTCAGCAGTATTCAAGCTGCCGTAATGGTAATCTAATAATGTTTAAGTCAGTGACAGGAAGCCAGAGACAAATAGCTGAGATGAGGACAGTCAGCCATTGTAACCATCAATGAGTAAAATGTATATTACAATGTCTTACCTTTCATTTACAAGTTTGTCTTTGACTGGATCACGTGGCTGTCTCTTCATGATGTCACTCTCAGCTTGTTCATAGGCCAATGAGATAGCAGGAACCATGTCAGTTCCCAGGTCGATGCAGAGGATGGTGATGGTTCCAAGAGGCAGGGGGATATCAGCCAGGATGAAGAGCAGGAAGGGTGAGATTTCAGGGATGTTGGAGGTGAGGGTGTAGGCAATGGACTTCTTCAAGTTGTCAAAGATCAAGCGACCTGCACACATACAATGAGAATAAACATTACACAAAAGACAGAAACGACAGAAACGACACAGCCTGAACACATGACTGAATTACAAACAAATAACACTGTCTAGCGTTTCAACTTTTGGGAACACAACAATGTTTATTGACTTATGGATAAGAAGTCGCATATCAACAGTACATAGTCAATGACTTAGCAAATACTTTACACACCTTCACTGGTACTCAAATCAGTGAGTGGCTTTTTCATATGTAAATGCTACATACTTTAAACCTGGATATTAGAGAATTATATTTCTTTTACCAAAACCACTTCTGTCTGAAAACAATTCTGTCAAATTACCCCCAAAATGACCTAAGTTGACACCTGCTGCAATGTTTGTCAAGACTGATCTGGATATAACTGGCACAACTCACAGACAAGGCAGTAAGGCTGCTCTGTGGAACAGGAGCTGAGAACTACAGTAGATTTGAGATGCATGAGAAAGTCATTATTTAGTGCCAGATACTGTTTTGTGCTGCTGCCAGAAATATACCAGTGGCCTGTAAATGGACAGGCCAATGCTAATGCTTTTTACGATGTCACACATTGTAACCACCCTCCATCCTCACAAGTAAGAGCTTTCCCTGCTAACTCCTAACATACATATATGTGCGATCATAAGGATCCATTACTTGCCTTCTTCAACACCAGTGACAATGGAGGCAAAGTTATCATCCAGCAAGATCATGTCAGCAGCTTGTTTACTGACGTCACTTCCAGCAATACCCATAGCAACACCAATATCAGCTTTCTTGAGGGCTGGCGAGTCATTGACACCATCACCAGTTACAGCTACGATAGCTCCTTGACGTTGACAGCCTTCCACGATGATCAGTTTCTGTTGTGGGGAGGTACGGGCAAACACAATTTCTCCATGGTTTCGGAGAATTTCATCAATTTGAGCTGGGGTCATGTCACGGAGATCAGCACCATGGACAACAGCAGCTTTTGCCTCTCTGAAGAATAAAAATGGTATCGGATGTTCAGGTTGGATAAAATTGCATCTCTTATATCATTGCATAAGCTTAAACAAACGGTTTCAAATCAAGCTTGCTTATATCTTGATAATAAAAGGTGATTTAATCATGTTGGAGTCTGTGACAGTTTGTATTTAATTAAACATACCTTGGATCAACCTCTTCAACTGGAATTCCTCTCTCAGCAGCAATATCTTCTACAGTCTTACTTCCTTCTGAGATGATGCCGACACCCTTAGCAATGGCCTTGGCAGTGATGGGATGGTCACCAGTTACCATGATAACCTACAAAAAAAACAAAAAAAAAACCCAATTCAATCCTAGAATCTTTAATTCATAACAAATATGAAACATACAGCATATTTACAAGACTACTTGAAAATATTAAGAACGGCAATCGCAACCTTACCTTAATACCAGCACTTCGACACTTTCCAACAGCATCAGGCACAGCAGCACGGGGAGGGTCAATCATAGCCATGAGGCCAACGAATCTCAGACCGGTGATGGGGAAGTTGGGGCCATCAGGATCAAAGCTAAAGCCTGGGGCGAACTGATCGATAGGCAGGAAATAGTCACAGAATCCTAAAACAAAAGGACAAACAAATCAGTACATAAGGAAACGAGGGCTTGAAATGAAATGAAATTTGGTGACTTTCCTTACTGAATTTAAACCACACAAGTTACATTATATATGTGCAGTATACAGAAATGTTTCACATACCAAGTACACGCTCTCCCAAGCCTCCAAGTTCCAGGTAAGCAGCATTGAAAGCCTCACGGAAAGAATCATCAATGGGTTGTTCCTTGCCATTAAGAAGCACAGTGCTACATCTGTCCATGATCCTCTCAGGAGCTCCCTTCATCACAAGCAGATAGCGTGGGTCGTTGGGATCCTCAGTCTCGTGGATGGAAACCTGTAAGAAATTACATACTAATGCATTAAAATATGCAGGTGATTTCATGTACACTCTTCTACACAGCTGTACTCCTGAAACTTCTGTATTGAACACAAGATCATATTGACTGCCAGGTAAACTTTCCAGCTTAGTGTGGGGCATCTCAAAGAAATTGAAGATATGACATATTGGAAGGGAGGTGGGGAAGGGGGTGTTTGGGAAGGGAGGAGCTTATGGTGGTGTGAAGGAATGGGGTTCCTAATACATCAAATATGGTAAGACAATCAAATGTCTTGGGCTAAAAAAAGATTGAATTGTAAAAGAAGGAAACACTGACAGCACATGTTCAAACAAATAAGAACTCGCCTGGTATTTGTTGGTTGAGTTGAATGGAATCTCAGTGACCTTCTTATTGCGGCGGCGGAATTCTGTGACATTTCCAATCGACAACTCAACACACTTGAGCAGGGCAGATTCAGATGCATCACCGTTACATTCCCTGAGAAAAAGATGTTTCATATGTTAGAATGTAAAAATCTAATTTTAATTAGTGTTAAAGTGAACACTAGACAAACAAAACAAAAAGTTAGTTGACCAAGACTCCAAACATAATTGTCTAAGTTCAATGAAACATTGAAAAAAAATATATTTCTCAGAAAATCCACTTATCAAATCAAACTTGGCACTTCACTTTTTGAACAGAATGTTTTTCAAAATGATGCTAGTTTAGTAATGAATGAACACAAAGCACTGTGACTGTAATCATTAAACTGAAAATGAGCATGTTTTCATGTTGCAGATGTGGCTACATAAACAAATTGCAAGTGAATCCATGGCATCTGAATGGCTAGCCAAGCAAAAGACTGCACAGAATCGAAGAAAATTCTTCAATAAAAATATACTTAAGCATGGTATGTACACTCACCTCTTGAGGATTGGAGTGTCGTCCTGCCCAAGTTTGAATTCGGCCCTGTTGCACAACATGGCAACGCGAGCCAGATTCATCCAGGTGAGGTCAGTGCGGCTGTATGTGGCATCTGTATATACAAAACAATTTCAATAACCATGTATTTCAAAACAATGAAAGGAAAGAGGAACTTTTTTGCATTTGCTGAAGCACCCATGTTATAGGACTCTGTTAGCATGTTAGCTATTTTCCTCCCAGACATACAGTACACATAACAGACTGTTGTACATCAAGTGCCAACTGTACTCACTGGACTGGTCATCACTGGTGTCAGCCTCCACAATACGCCCATCAAACCACATGTGAGCAACGGTCATTCTGTTCTGTGTCAGTGTTCCGGTCTTGTCCGAGCAGATGGTGGATGTAGATCCAAGAGTCTCAACAGCCTCTAAGTTCTTCACCAGGCAGTTCTTACTGGCCATACGCTTTGCTGTGAGAGTCAGACAAACCTGCACAAACACACAATACCATTATGCTGTAGGGTGTTACTTCCTCTACTCATTGCATTGAATATCATGCTCAGTATTGGATATTTTAGGTCATGTTCTCATAATAAGTGAAGCATATAAAGGATGATGAGATACTCATGACAAAACAAAATAGTTTATGACAAAACCGTAAACAGTTACTCACTGTGACAGTAGCCAGCAGACCCTCAGGGACATTAGCAACAATAATTCCGATCAAGAAGATGACAGCATCAAGCCAAAAGTAACCCAAAATGAAGGCGATGACGAAGAAGGAGACTCCAAGAAACACAGCCACACCAGTGATGATGTGGATGAAGTGAGCAATTTCCTTAGCAATGGGAGTCTCGCCAACCTCCAGACCAGAAGCCAGGTTGGCAATACGCCCCATTACAGTTTTGTCACCAGTACGGACCACAATACCACGACAATCTCCTGAAACCACATAATACTTAGTATTAAGCAAATGTTTATCCAATTTCAACTTAAAACAAATGTTAAAATTTGTCATAATTCTTAAAGCACGGAAAAGTATGACTTAGCCCTGACAGTTGCCTACCTTCTACAGCATTGGTGGAAAAGAAGGCCAAGTTCCTTGTTTCTAGGGGGTTTTCATGTGTGAAGTCGGCAGTACGAGTCTGGGGCTCAGATTCTCCAGTCAGGGAGGAGTTGTCCACCTGCACATACAATATTTACTGGTTTAAAAAAAAGAGTCACCTGAACACGACAATTCTCCCCCGCCCCAACAAATTCGAAAGAATCATCTGACTGTTACATCCAGTCCAACCTGAGAGATTTCTATGCAATCTGTCTGTCCGTATACAAGAGTAGTTATTGAGCTATGAAAACAAAATACCGTGGAATCAGGATTTGGAGGGAGGGATTGAAAAAGGACACTTATAAAACTTGACAGGGTATTTATCAAGAAGTGTGGAGTATCATTTCATATTGTGTGTGGCTGATATGAATCAAGGTAACATGGTAAGGCAGACTCACCTTGAAGCTGTGAGCAGTGATCACACGGATATCAGCAGGGACTCTGTCTCCAAACTTGACATCAATGATGTCTCCAAGGACCAGCTCCTCTGCATGGATATTGTGCTTTTGTCCACCTCGGATAGCCACAGCATACTGCAATGACAAGAGCTTGCTGATAAACATTTGAAACTGCTAGTTCTGCTGGACTGGCAACTCTAAAAATTACCAATTCCCCCTAATTTTTGTCAGTCCCAACTTTAAATCAAAACATATGAAAACTACCTGGTTTTAATTCTTTCAACATCACGTTCAATGCAATGACATCATCTCTGAAGTAACTTAGTTAGAACTACACGTCATTCACACAAGGTTCAGTCACAATTTTCTCTTTTTTTAAAATATTTCAAGACTAAGTCACAACAAATATATATTCGGCCTCAAATTGAAATGTTTCCGTGCACTAAAATATACAAAGGGGTAACCGTGATGGTAACAAACAAGATGACTTTTTAAAAAAAACAACAACTTAAATGAATATCACCGATGTTTTGTTTTATAAGGTATTTTATTTGCCAGTCCACAGGGAATGGCAGTCACATGAATTACTGGTCCAAACCTAATTTTACTGGAAAAAAACTGGGAACACAGAAAAACTACCTTGATGAAATAATGATGAGTAAGAACACATGGTAACCAAAAAGAAATGCAACAGTGAATTGTACAGAAATGACATGCCATTCACAAATGAATGAATTACCTGTGGAACCATGTTCTTGAAGGAATCCATAATCTTTGAACTTTTGGCTTCTTGATAGTATGAGAAGCATCCTGTGACAACCACAACAGCTGTCAGCACTATACCTAGATATAACTGAAACAGACAGTGCTTGTGTTACAGCAGTAAACAGGCTTCCTGAGGTTTTCATGACTGAAATATAATTCATAGAAGCTGCAGATACAGAATTCCGAACATTAGGATTATGACAAGAACTCCCTGGACTTGAATTTTAAAAAAAGGTTATTCTTTTTCCATTTTAATCATCAACTAGTTTCAAGTAACAGTGCATCTTTTACAATATATGTAAGATTTTTAACAAAAAGACTCACATTATCACCCGGTGGATCTTCCATGGCTCCTGCCTGGATGGAATATGCTATGTAACAGAGAATAGCCCCAATCCATAGGAGGAGAGAGAAACCACCAAATAATGTTTTACAAAATTTCACCCATTCTGGTGTAGTTTTAGGTGGTGTTAACATATTGGGACCATCTCTGAGGAGAATTTCTTTTGCCTTCTCAACACTGTGACCCTGAAACAGTAATAAGTATGTTTAAAGATACACATACACATTACACATGTCAACATACTCTTTATCTACATGAGCCACTGAGAAAGCAGCTTTCTTGAGCTTAGTGGCACTAGTTTCAATCTGCAGGCTCCCATTCGAGACCATGCCTTCAAAGGTGTTTTGAATCAGTCATCCAGCCCAAGACAAAGGGGCGTGGTTTAAGCTTTTTGGGGTGGCATGATTAGAAAACATATTCCACTAGGAGTATAATGAATGTTTCCTTTTTAATTATTTTATTACAGCATATGTAATGTTTTCTATTGTGTAGTTGGCGAGAGCAGTGTGTTAACTTATTTATACCAGATTGTCATGAAAATTAGCAACACTTAAGGATGAAAATGCATGTACCATATTGGGATCTGATCCAAGTCGCTCATACAACTCCTCAAGTGGAATCTTGTGTTCTTCCATCTCCAACTCCTGTTTGAGTTCATCAAGATTTTCCTTCTTCTTCTCCTTCTTTGACTTCTTCTTGTCATCATTATCACTGGGTGTGACAGCATAGCGGTAGCTCTCAGCCCGTGGCTAAAACAGAAATGAATGAAAAACGACACTCAAAGACCACCCTATTATTGAACAGTTTGAACCTTCCACCTCAATGAAGTGTTTTACTGGGATGAAGTTGCAAGGTTCATACAAAGTACCCCACAACATTAGGAGCTAAATATTTATTAGCAAAATAACAGTTTTATCAATCATGGCTATTACAACTAACAATGCTACAACAAAACTCAAGTCTTATCCAGAATAACATTTATTTTTTGCCTATTCAAGCAACACCATATGAAGCGAGAAGGTGTCATGATCAATACAAAAAGCTACCTTGGGTAATCACAAAAATCTGCAGCAAATGTCTATAAAATTAAATAAATTGGAATTAATAGTTAAACCACTCCAAGTTCATGTTAATATAGTAATGACTAATGTTCCAGCCTTATAGACTTTTATTTCACTGGCAAGAGGACCAATTAATATCCAAGAGAGGTAGTGCCTTTAAAGTTTAGTTTACAAAGTATAAATACCTCTGAATTTAGGAAAATAACATTTTACTCCCCTTTTGCCTGTTAGGGAGCTTAGTTTGGAATCCTGGATAAATCCTGGTTTAATTTTCTGTATTGAGACCAAATGAAGCAGGCTTTACATGTATATTTGTAGAACTCACATATGATGTACTTGTACAAAAGAAACACTGAACGTGGGTGCCTCTAATGATCCTGACAATTTATTATAACCTAAACAACCCTGTATCACCTGTACAATACACCGGGCGAGTTAGTTTTATTGTACACAAAAGGACGCTAAGATATGGTATCAATTCAGGTAATATCTGATGTATTTGTTTACTTGACCTACATATCTTTCATGTAGCGTCTCAGTGCACAATACATGTCGCAGCAATGATTGTATTAAAGTCTATGCAACAGGTATGTGATATGAATCTTACCGAGCATTCATTTCAATATATACATTTTCTGGTACTTTTGGGTTTGAGTGGATTTGTGAAATATACTACAATGATACAATGACCTTAAATCCATTTAAGATGCCACACACTGATATTATTACATTAAGTTCTGAAAACATGCCTGATTTCAGTATTTGCTTACATTCATCGTCTTAATACACAAAGTAGTTGATCACGGTAGCCAAGTCTACTTATCACGTGAGAGATCACATGACTGTTCATTCACTTTCCCTGGACAACTTACAAGGTCACCTCTATCCTATCACTGGAATAGCCAGTGTTCCACTTCAAACCATACAGTAATCTCAACATTTAAACATTAATGCGCATAACGTGCCAAAAAACAGGCATGATTCATTATTTGGTTTGGGTAACTTAAAATAAAGAAGCAAGGCTCATTCAAGTCATTTTCAAACTGATCGGATTACAATCTACATGCTTTATTTTTACCTTACTACAATATACTCGTGCACGCAAATAGATACAATAACAGGCATGAAACAAAGTCAAAAGGGAAAATGTCGGCAATACTGCCCGTTCTTGTCCATAATTAATTATATCCTTCAACACATAAGGGCGTGCGGAGCTAGATCTACTGAAATGGTTTTGAGATGCATGTACTTTCCGGCCCGATATCGGACATCAACAGGCACAATCAGTACTTTCCACATTGTGGAAGCTCATTTAAACGACAAAACAAAGCATCTGGGCCTGTATTTTGATAAAAGTGTCCATGGAACATTTGCCCTTCAAACCCCGAGGATGCTCATGAATATTCATATAACCAGTTTAAATTAGTAATTGCAAGCATGAGCATGGAATGCCTCCAAACATACCTCTGTCACCAGGGAGTATAATAAGGCTTTGAAAGTTTAATCTAACAACTATGCACTTACAGTAACTGTGCCTTAACTGATTCGAGTCACGACAGTCAACGGGGTCAGAAGTACGCGTCCTGACCTAGGCCCTCGAAACCAATATGATACATGTTCGGAAGGTGCGTTGTGAATTTACGAGTTTATATGTCTTCTACGCCGAGAAAACCACATAAAAAACAGCTCGGTATAACATCATGAGCCTATACATCAAGTACATAATCACCATGTTTGATATATATGTAAAAACAGAACAGAAACTCACCTGGCTTGACTTGGACACCTTACTCGACGCCATTTTCGATTGGGCGGTCTCTCCAACAAGCGTGACGTATGTGTGAGCTTGGGAGCTGTCAATCAAGTGACGTCACCCAGGAAAATTCCGAGGATTTCGAAATAACCACTTCAACAACGGAATAACACTAGGTATCAGGTTTGTCCAGAGAAGGAAATAACTAAGTTATTAACAGCCCGGAATGGAAAATGTTGAAATAGTGTTCTCCGTCTTAGGTTCCAATGTCACGTGATTTGAAGGTTATCTGTCCAAAATGGCGGACGGAGCTCAAGATCCCCGTAACCACCAATGCACGGCAACTGGCGACGCTCCTCGGTTCACGAGCGGTTTTATATTGTCCCGAGGAGGCCCGTTCAGAGCCGCTTCTTGGTTTTGATTGGCAGATCTATTGCAACACTCAAAACTAGGTCACCCGTTGACCGCTAGTAGACGGGGACAAAAGTCAAACCGGTTTCTATATTTTGGGGTAACATTAGGTAATTGTTACAGTTGTATTGTATGTAGACAGCACGACTACAATGCCATATAATCGTTAATGTCAACGCTATCTTAGTGCCTGAGCGATAAAGTATGTCAGTATGTACTTATCAATAAACGTGTTGGATTTTGTTTAGTGTTATCTGATATTTCTTTTTATAAATCGAGATATATTTCGAAACAAATGCGCCATGAGAAAGGTTCGACGTGTCGGTTGGGGTAGTTATGGGGGAGAAGGAGAAAATGAGTCCATTAACGTGCAGTTGAGTGTAGTCTATATATTAGGCTATAATATATATTACATACGTAGACAATCATAATAAATACATCACAAATTGAAATACGACTATTCAGAATAGGTGCCTGCCATTCCGATCACAGGGTGACATTCAAGTACTTGGGGTGAATGCAAATACTTTGCCAGGAAAGTTTCTTTTTTATCATTTCATTTATATTTGAAAACATCACCAAACATACCAAATGAATGTTGAGATACGTTTACACTATGTACGTGTTTGGTATTTTTGGAACACTTCCAAAAAGCCTGTTTTTGTTTGTTAGTTTATTTCTTTTCTTGTTGGGGACAGATGTTTTCTTTTACCTCATGTGCGACACTCGAACGAGAAAAAAAATATCTTTTAGGATTCGAGAACATGTATCGGTTTGATCATTGACTAACTGAATGTGTATGCATGTTCGTGTGTTGAGCGAATACACAGAGGAAACGTACGTAACCCGAATGGGATGAATGTTTTATTTTAGAAAGATAATTGCCAGGGTTTGTAATGCTGCGAAAACGATTTCTGCCCGAGTGTTGCGGTGATGGTGATGGTCGGTTCGCCCCTGGGTATTAACAATGTCCCATTGTTCCTTCATTGTTTCGACTATAGGGCCTAGACGACAAACCACCGGATTGGTCATGGTAGTTGTTAATCAGATTCATCCTCGCAGGGTTGTCGCATGGTTTTGCTTAATTGTTTTCTAGATCCTAAGAATGTGTCAATGGTTGTTGGAAACTATGTGTCCACACACGTTTAAAGTCACGATTAAAGTATAACATAAAGTGTCGGGCAAAAAAAACACTATATATGTATGTGATAAAATAAATTAAACGTTAACAAAACGTTACGTGACTGAAAACAGTCGCCGAAACACTGGAAACTTAAATTCCCAAACACAACAATGATATCCGTATCAAATACCATCGATTAACCATTTCTTGTTTTGTTCCATTTTAGCCACCATCAATCATGGGTGTATACATTCTTGTGCCCGGCTGATTAGATGCAACTGGGATGACGTAACATACCTCGTTTCCCACTTTGTGTTCATGTTGTTTTCAATCTATTTTCAAACGTCTCCCAAACGACTTACATACAAGTGACAATTTATTTTGGGTATTACTGTGGGCAAATTGTAGCCAAAGTATTTTTTCCACGCTTCAAAGTGTTTCTTTTCAGAAAATTCCGATATCAGACAGTTTTTTCGCCTGTACGTTTTGTATACCGGTGTGTGATTATTCCCTAAATCGATAATATATAGTGCATGGCGCTGAGTCCGAGAAGCACGGACAATGCCGTGTAGTAGACCACAGCCAAAAGAGCAATGTACGTGATCAAAGGGTGGCCAGGGGGTATCACGGATGGCCGAAACAAATAACCTCAGTCGTAAACCTGACACATCTCCTGTCGCGTAATATTAGCTACAATTACATAATATTCCCCCCTCCGGCCTCCTGTAAACAAAGATTCGGGTTGGCTGAGCTTCTTTGTTCTTGTGACATTCCAGTCCCAAACTGTACCAACATAAGCTGTAGTGTGTTTGAGTAACTTCTTTAAGTGGCATTATCAATGGAAGTTAATTTATACGGAATTTTCAAGTTTGTGTTCCTGCAAACACCACGGCACAGTTATGAAACACAACAGGCCCCCTCGCTGTACTCTGTAACATTTGACTAACCAATAGTACTAATAAATGAATGTCGTTTATGACTCTTATGGCCTTTTTGATTAAGCAATCACGCTTTATTATGATATGATGGAGAGAGAGAGAGAGAGAGAGAGAGAGAGAGAGAGAGAGAGAGAGAGAGAGAGAGAGAGAGAGAGAGAGATTTTGCAAGGGGTCATATATACTTGTATATTTAGTGCTCTGGCGCCTTGGATCTGCGTCAGTATAGTTCCAATCGAATTAGCATCATCAGTGTGCGTGCCATTGCGTGGTTATCGTTTGCAATACCAGACACGGGGAGACGGCAGCGGAGTGGAAATGATTCGTACCCGGTGCCTCTTTATTGATGTAAGAAATGTTTGGACGTTCCTGGCTAATGCGATTGTTATCAGAGAAACAACTTGATTGTATAAGTATTACACCCGAATGATATGATGATACCACCTGTCTTGTGGGCCAGTCACCTACGTGCGCGCGTGCGCGTGTGTGTGTATGCCCAGTTTGTACCGTGACATTGTAGACATGGAAGGGAGTCATTTGCTCAGTTTATAGGGTAGCATGATAAATACGGAAGAGTCGCATGCCTAGTTTATACACTGGTTTGTTGTTTTACGCCGCACTCAGCAATATTCCAGCTATATAACGGCGGTCTGTAAATAATCATGTCTGGAACATACAACCCAGTGATTGATATCATGAGCATCGATCAACGCAATTAGGAACGATGGCATTCTTCAACCAAGTCAGGAGCCTGACAATCCGATCCCGTTAGTCGCCTTTTACGGCAAGCATAGGTTGCTAAAGACCTATTCAACTCCAGATATTCTCGGGTCTAGTTTATACATATATATGGAAGGGATTGATATGCCTAGTTTAAACGATAGCATGTTGAATATGGAAGGGAGTTATATGCCCAGTTTATACGATAGCATGATAAATATGGAAGGGAGTGATATGCCCAGTTTATACGATAGCATGATAAATATGGAAGGGAGTCATATGCCCAGTTTATACGATAGCATCATGAATATGGAAGGGAGTCATATGCCCAGTTTATACGATTGCATGATGAATATGGAAGGGAGTGACGCCCAGTTTATACAAAAGCATGATAAATATGGAAGGGAGTGATATGCCCAGTTTATAGGATAGCATGATGAATATGGAAGGAAGTCATATGCCCAGTTTATACGATAGCATGATGAATATGGAAGGGAGTCATATGCCCAGTTTATACAATAGCATGATGAATATGGAAGGGTGTCATTTGCCCAGTTTATACGGTGGCATGATGAATATGGAAGGGAGTCATATGCCCAGTTTATACGATGGCATGATAAATATGGAAGGAAGTCATTTGCCCAGTTTATACGATAGCATGATGAATACGGAAGGGTGTCATATGCCCAGTTTATACGATGGCATGATAAATATGGAAGGGTGTCATTTGCCCAGTTTATACGGTGGCATGATGAATATGGAAGGGTGTCATATGCCCAGTTTATACGATAGCATGATAAATATGGAAGGATGTCATTTGCCCAGTTTAAACGATAGCATGATGAATATGGAAGGAAGTCATTTGCCCAGTTTATACGATAGCATGATAAATATGGAAGGGAGTCATATGCCCAGTTTATACGGAAGCATGATAAATATAAAAGGGAGTCATATGCCCAGTTTATACGATAGCATGATAAATATGGAAGGGTGTCATATGCCCAGTTTATACGGTGGCATGATGAATATGGAAGGGAGTCATATGCCCAGTTTATACGATAGCATAATGAATATGGAAGGGAGTCATATGCCCAGTTTATACGATAGCATGATAAATATGGAAGGGTGTCATTTGCCCAGTTTATACGGTGGCATGATAAATATGGAAGGGTGTCATTTGCCCAGTTTATACGATGGCATGATGAATACGGAAGGGTGTCATATGCCCAGTTTATACGATGGCATGATAAATATGGAAGGGTGTCATTTGCCCAGTTTATACGGTGGCATGATGAATATGGAAGGGTGTCATATGCCCAGTTTATACGATAGCATGATAAATATGGAAGGATGTCATTTGCCCAGTTTAAACGATAGCATGATGAATATGGAAGGAAGTCATATGCCCAGTTTATACGATAGCATGATAAATATGGAAGGGTGTCATATGCCCAGTTTATACGGTGGCATGATGAATATGGAAGGGAGTCATATGCCCAGTTTATACGATAGCATAATGAATATGGAAGGGAGTCATATGCCCAGTTTATACGATAGCATGATAAATATGGAAGGGTGTCATTTGCCCAGTTTATACGGTGGCATGATAAATATGGATGGGTGTCATATGCCCAGTTTATACGGTGGCATGATGAATATGGAAGGGAGTCATATGCCCAGTTTATACGATGGCATGATGAATATGGAAGGGAGTCAAATGCCCAGTTTATACGATAGCATGATAAATATGGAAGGGTGTCATATGCCCAGGTTATACGATGACATGATAAATATGGAAGGGAGTCATATGCCCAGTTTATACGATAGCATGATAAATATGGAAGGGTGTTATATGCCCAGTTTATACGATGGCATGATGAATATGGAAGGGTGTCATATGCCCAGTTTATACGATGGCATGATAAATATGGAAGGGTGTCATTTGCCCAGTTTATACGGTGGCATGATAAATATTTAAGGGAGTCATATGCCCAGTTTATACGATGGCATGATAAATATGGAAGGGTGTCATTTGCCCAGTTTATACGGTGGCATGATGAATATGGAAGGGTGTCATATGCCCAGTTTATAGGATAGCATGATAAATATGGAAGGGTGTCATTTGCCCAGTTTATACGGTGGCATGATAAATATGCAAGGGAGTCATAT